CCCTGATCCCAAAGTTGCTTCTTCGTTGCAGGAACACAGCGTAGGAAATTCGATGCATTCTCCCAGGAAGGAGCCTGGAGTGGGACTCAGGGGACCTGGGTGCTGGTCTCAGCCCCACGCCAGTCGTGGACAGGCCTCTCTGTTCCTTGGGCTTCTCGTCTGTAGAATCAGGGTTGGAGAGAGGATTTTTCTCCTTCTCTTCTACAAGGATGTGCTGCGACAGCCAGGGAAGGGCTGACCATGCACAGTGCTTTCATGCACAGGCTCTGACGGTCACCAAAGAACCAGACCGGGCCACAGGCCATCCCGGGAGAGGGAAGAGCCCTTTAATGTGGGCAGAGGGAATGTTGGTCCCCCAGAGTTCCCTCTCAGGTGTGGTGGGAGTGGCAGTTGAATGGGGCAGTTGGAGAGGAGGACTTCAGGCAGGTGGGACAAGAGAAGCTGAATCTGAGGTCCTTGGGGAGAAGGAGGCCCAGGAGTCCTGGGCAGTAGGTGCCAGGCTCTGAGCCCCATGACTGCTGACCCTCCTCCCCTCCCTCTCATCCTCAGCCCAGGTAAAGCTTTTCCCTATAGCAATTAGCGGCCTCCATTTATTCCCAGGGGCCCTTGTCTCTCATCCCCAGGACAGGCTGTGGGGAGGGGGGCGGTGACACCACTGAATGGGGCTGCCCAAGCGGGAGGCAGCAGGATCGAGGCTCCGAGAAGAAAGGCAGCCCCTTTTCCACTTTTGGAGCCCCCGTTATCATAAAAGAAAAGGCAGATATGCCAAGACACGATTTCAAAATCTCTGAAATACAAAAGCCTACATTGAATAATTTAAGTCTTTTTCCACACATGCACAAACACATATACAGGGTAGTGTTCACAATTTAATTATGGGATTTATACCCCCCACCCACCCAGAAAAAAGACCTGGAATTCATGAAGCATTACTGTGGTTCTCATAGGAAGCTTTCTCCTTCCTTCCTTCCTTCCTTCCTTCCTTCTTTTCTTTTCTTTTCTTTTCTTTTCTTTTCTTTTCTTTTCTTTTCTTTTCTTTTCTTTTTTACTTTAAAATATATTATTTTCCTGGGAGTGTAGATTTCAGTTGCCCTGAATCCGGGCTCTTGCACCCTTCTCTGATCGTGTCGGAATGTGTCTGTAACTGGATGGATGACCTCGTTTGGAGATGCCATCACTGGCCACTGTTTTAGGACCTCTTGGGGATGAGGGGACTTGAGCAAAAGCACCCCACTTCCCTTCCTGCACCCCCAGCTTGGTGCTGTCCCCTGCATGCACTTCCCTCTGCCACCTCTCTGCCTCCCCCTCCCTCCCAACGCCAGTCCCTCGTCACTCACAGGGCTTTCTGGTCTGGCTGCTGCAGGTGCGGGGTACCTGGGGACAGACAGGAGAGCTGCGGTGTGGGCAGGGCCTGGGAGAGCTCCCGGTGTCTCCTCTGTGCTGGAGGCCTGTCAGGCCCTGGAGGAAGGGGCTGTGGGGGTTGGCGGAGACCATCTGATATTGATAACTTTGGTGGCTTTAAATTAAGAATGGATTTATTAAGAAAGAAGTAGGGCTGTAGTCTCGTACCTGGGAAAAATGTTATGACTAAAGGTGTGCCTGCTTTTGGTTGATGGAGGGACTCCCATCATGAGCACCAAGGAAGACCCAGAGTCCAATTCTCGAACATGAAGTTGTTAATTTTCTGGGCTAGACAGGGGCAGAAATGAAATATAACAGAACAAAGTGGGCAGGTGTGGAAAATGGTTCTTCTTGAGATGACTTCTAGACATCTTTTGTTCTCTCTTGGGGCAGAGACAAGGATAGAGAAAAAGGCCTCCGGAAACACTATAAGGAAGACAGTAGTGCTAATGCAATAATAAATGTTTTGTGACCCCGAATCTCAGAGTTACAGAGACAGTAAGGAGTGGTGGGGATTGTGGCAAACTAAAGCATGTATGCCCTGCCCAGGAGGGGTTGCTGTGCTCAACGTGAGTGGATTGTCATCATGTGAGCATACAGAGCTCCTGATATTTGATGAAAGCCAGAAGCCAGTCTTATTTTTTTTTAATGTGGTGTCTCCTCATTTTTAAATGTTTTCCACAAATTGGAAAAAAATGTTTAAACTATGCAGGCCATATAAAATGGAACTGCAAGTTGCACATGGTCCACAGTTTGTGTCCTGTGCTGTAAACAGAGCCCTTCTTGCTTCTGCCTGTCCAGTCTGTTGAGGTTAGGTTAAGAACCCCCTGCCTGCCAGCAGAGGGGTGCACCAACGACTTTTTGGCACCTCCTGCCAATCTTCAGATGCTCTGCATGGAAAATACAATGCCAAGAACAGAGCCACGATGGCTGCAGGGACCCTGGCCGAGTCGGCACTGCCTCCTCCCAGCTCTCATCAGCTGTGCGCCCCTCAGACCCCATCCTGTGATTGCCAGCAAGCAGATTTCTCACCCCAGGCAGCTCCTCACTCCTGGCAGAGGATGGTGTGACAGACGGGGATAGAGACGTTAGCCAAAGCAGGCTTCCTGATTTAAAAAAAAGTCTCATTTTCCCCCCAGGGCT